ATTTGCTGTGTGTTCCATTTTTCTACTAATTGAAGAAATGGTGCCTTCTTATCAGGTGGGCTCTGCTACCTAGGCTAAGTTGCCTTTATGCACGGAAGGGAATAGAAAAGAATGAAATGGTTGTTGGTGTCAAGTCCTGCAAGGTAATCTGTCTTAGATTTGCTTATCTGGGATTAGAAATCCTGGCTAAAAGTGCTGAGTGGTTCAGTTCAATTATTTCTTGTAGGAATTGTTTGTGCTTCGATTATTTTTCCAGGTAATCTTTAAAAATGCAGACTTACAATAACAAACTGTAGTGATTAATTGTAATCAGTCTTATAGCAACCTTTTTAAGAAAGTATAGCATCCTTATTTTTGTCTTTATCATAAACCATGTGAAATTTGTGGCAAAACTAAGTTTTAAGAAAGCTAAACAGCCCTTAAATTACCTTGTTTTAAGACCTTTTTGAGATATCTAGCTGTACTGTATACATTGGAAACCGAGAGTATACTTTAGACTTCAACTGAGACCTGAAACTGGTTTCATGTTACTGTTTAAGGCATTCTTCTAACTTGGTAGTAATATATTGCCCAAGTGGAAATAATTAAAGCTTATGCTTTTTCCTAATAAAATGAAGCCTTGTTCCTCACATCAGAAGTAATCTGTGAGGTAGGTATTGATGGAGTAAGAGCCATGGATCTCTGCAAAGCTGTTCTTTTGATGTCAGACTCTGCCATTTTGGAAAGAATCAAAACAAGACTTTGTGCTTACCAACTCTATTTCACGACACTACAGTTTCACTGGGTACTGTTCTAATATTAATTTGAAAAAGATGTCATGAAATCTGATGTGCAAATTTCTACTGGGATAATTTGGCCTTTCCTTCCTTAGCGAAAGGTAGGGGTTTTGAGGGTTGTCTGTACCATTTTATTTATAGATGTGTTTTCCAATACATAATACTTATGTATTCTTGGGACTAGTAAATACTGGTTGTTTTTTTAAATTAAAAATGTATTTTTTTTAAAATGCTGGCTCATAGCAAACCAGCATTTGCAGTATGATCACAGAGAAGCTTGGGCTGTGCAGCCGCTGGGCTGATTTGATAGACAGGATGTTCTCCTGGCTTTGGGAAGACATTCTTTGCATGCTGAGGAATTATTGGGAAACTTTTCCATTGTCAAACTGAATGTTTGAAAGAGTTTTAAGTTCTGTTGGCGGTTTTTTGGTGGTTGTTTTTTTTTTTTTTTTTAAATATGACTGTTTTTTAAAGAAGTCTAGAGACAGCAGTACTGCAAAAGAAACTTCACTGGGATTGCACAATGTACAAGCTGGGTCAATGCTTTGTCCGAGTTGTATTTCTGGCAATACTTCATGTGCTAAGCACAACATTTTCAATCATGTATAGCATACTTATCTATGCCTGATGAGAATGCATTCAAATTTTGTAATCTTCAACTTGGAACAAGGCATTCTTAATGTTACATTGGGCTAATAAATTCCAAAAACCAAGAATGCCAGTAGTCCACAACACCTTTAAAATGGTATAGGAATTCCAAAATAAACTTAAAGAATTGTATTTCTTCCTTCTCTCACTTATTAGCCTTCTGAATTCCTTCAGTTCACAATAGGTTGCCTTCAGGAATTGTAGGAAACATCATATTATGGACAACAAGAATAGCCCCAAAGTCAGTGGATAAAATACTGGCATAGGAGCCAGAAATTCCTCATTCTGTATCTTCTGTTCTGTAGAACACTATGCTTTGTTTTGTGGCTCAGATGACATGTTTGTCTGAAAGACACAGAGCTCTTAAAAATGCTTATTGTATTGGCTTTCGTAGTGGACTCTTGCCCAGAGATTTTAACTGGTGAAGAGTTAGAGTGCTGAAGTAGAGAAGGAATGTCTAGCTAAAATGTAATCTTAATGTTTTTGAATTTTAAACATCTGAAGATGACACAATGTCAGTACAGTTTTTCTATTTAAGAACAGAATTGAAAAATATCTGTGGAGGTGTGTGTGAATATATATATATGTATTTTCACACACATACACACACAAGTCATCTTACTCTTTTCAAGATTGCTTATTTAGTATCTGTGAAACTGAAAGTTTTCAAAGCACTATTGGCAGTGCTTTGAATCAAATATAAACCAAGAACTCTAAAAATCTATGGAGGAAACTTAGTGTTTTTTTTCTGATGTCTGATACAGTTTAATGTTACACATGCAAATTAATGCAGGAATTTTGCAGTTTCATTTGTGCACAAGGTTATTTTATTGCCTTCTTTGTGATACTTGAGTAGTGAATGTTTAACCCAATTATCTTACTGCACATTAGAGCTACCTTCATTACTCTTGGTACGAAGAGTAGAAATGTTTCCCTTGACCAGGAATTTCCCTGGCCTCAGACTCTCTGCCTGGCTGAGGCACCAAAACAGGGACCTGCTGGATGTGGGAGGGCAGTCTGGAGAGCTATCAAAGTTTTTATTAAGTTGGCCTTGTTTGTGTATGCCAAATTATTAAGTGGGGAGTGCTGTGTTACATAGCTAAGTTGTACAGAAGCCTGACTGAGACCTGGCTGATAGCCTGTGAAGCAGCACAGTTACAAGGCTCTGTGCATAAAGTAGAAAAAATAGTTTAAGTACAGTTTCTTTCATCTTTCCACTTAAGACTGAATTAGAAATGTCTTTCCGTTTTGCCCTCTCTTCTTGAAGAGATGGGTGGGATTTGTTTTACAGCTGTAATACTCCTCACGGAAACTACCTGTGCAGGGGAGGACCTTGCCGAAGGCACCCTGGACTGTCACCATCAACTGCTGAGTCCCTTCAGTCTGGACCTGCTAGAAGCCTTTACAAGTTGAAGGCAATGTTGGCACTCTTTAAATGAGATAGCCAAGTATGAAGCTATTTCTACAAATATTACATGAGGTGTTATCTTTTGCAGTTGGCTGGCTAATGAACTGCCTTTCCCCCTACCCTTCAATGATAGATGATCGTGGTCTGTATGAATCGGTACATTTAACAAATATATATGTGGTATAAACATCTAGATGTGAGTTGTTAACTACTGCTTCTTGATTGTGACCAAATGTAACTAATTGGTTTGGGGTGGTTAATGTGTCATTTGTTCTTAGTCACAGTATGTGTATATCAGATAAGTAATTTCTAAAACTGATAATTTTTACAGTATTCTGGTATTTATGAAGAAGACGAAACAAATATACTGCTTTAAAGCAGTATATATTTTCCTGGTTAACGGGGGAGGTCCCGGACGACTGGGGGCTTGCCAATGTGACGCCCATCTACAAGAAGGGCCGGAAGGAGGATCTGGGGAACTACAGGCCTGTCAGCCTGACCTCGGTGTGAGGGAAGATTATGGAGCAGTTCATCTTGAGGGCGCTCACAAGGCATGAGTGGGACAACCAGGGGATCAGGCCCAGCCAGCACGGGTTCATGAAAGGCAGGTCCTGCTTGACCAACCTGATCTCCTTCTATGACCAGGTGACCCGCCTAGTGGACGAGGGAAAGGCTGTGGATGTGGTCTACCTGGACTTCAGTAAGGCCTTTGACACCATCTTCCACAGCATTCTCCTAGAGAAGCTGGCGGCTCATGGCTTAGACAGGTG